AAGATTAAAAGTCAAATTATGCACTATCAAAAGGCAGGGCCTCCAAAGAAGTTTGATGTCACCAAAATCCATATTACGTATGCAAAAAATAGGTTTGACCTACCGGCCACTTCTGAGAAGACATTTGATGAACTCTGGCAGGAAATTCAATCAATCATTATTGGAATTGCAAAAAACAGGAAAGAAACTTCCTCCGGAATGACCTGCCTTCAGCCCCCAGGCCCCAAGTCGGGTGGCTCCTCCTGGGTTTGGCAAATTTATTGCCTCCTCATTTAGTCAGGGCCCTTGACAGCATTTCTCCCATCTATCAGGAGAAGGAGAAGGCGATCCATGCCTGATACCTGAAGAAGTGAGGAAGATTGAAGATCTTTCATACTGAATGAACTCCATACGCATGACAAGTAAGCCATGAATCTTCTAGCTCCGAAGGGGCTCTTGAGGCCATTGAGCCTCACCCTTCCCAATGCAGGTCATCAAAGTGAAGCCCCCAAGATGGATGACCCAGTGGAGGTATCCCCACCCCCAGGGAGATGGTTTCTCCTGGCTGACAGCTCTATGGTTGGAAGAGTCCTTCAGATTGACTGGAGGCCTAAGAAGTTATCAGTGTTGTCCAGTGAAATGGCGCATCTGTCACCAAAAGATTGCCAGAAGGTGGAGACGCCATTGGCCACTCGGACCTCTGCTGGCACCTTGTCCACCACACCAAGCAGCCACTTTGCAGGTGTGTCTGGGCCACAGCTAGTGAGAGTCTGGCAGCTTCCAGCTGGAAGAGGAGAAGCCCATGAGTGGCTTCTCTGCCTGAGCCTCTCTTTAAATGGGTTCCCCCAAACTTCAGTGGAGATTCTCAGCCATGCAGGTCATAACCGATACACACTTGTCTCGTCAACCCATCAGGACAGGATCCAGCCATCACCTGCCTTTGAAGGACAAAGGTCCCCTCTTGAAGGCAGCAGAGTCCACAGGTGGCTGCTTTGAAAGGGACCAAAGGGTGCACATGGGTGCTAGAATGGAACAGCCCTCCCACCACAGAGTGGGAGGAATACATCACACCCATCGCCTGTCCAGAACGCAGCCATTTCGGATGCCAAGAAGATTCCACACTTGATGCAGGTGACCGGAGGGCACAAGTGGCCTCAATGAGAGCACCAACAACCAGAGGACTGCAAAGAAGAAACAGGCCTTCCGTTTCCCACAGCCCATCCCTCCTTCCATCTACTCTCCATCAGAACTGATGAAGCTGCTTGGATGAAAAGCAAAACATCTTCTTCCTCAAGGGGGGAAAAAACCCAGGCCAGCCCAGTTACCTTTTTGAAAAAGCACCTTTGAGTCTCCCCCAGTTGTGGCAGGCAGGAGTAACGGAGGAGGAGGCAGACTGTAGAATGCAGGGTGCGGATACTGACCCAGGAGGAGGGAGAGCCAAGGGGCACCTCAGGCCAGGCTCCTATGCCAGGCTCTGCAAGGGAAAGGCCCACCCCCATGCATCGATCAGCCTTCTCTGGCGAACTGAGCAAGGACATCCGGACAGAAGGGATCTGTAACCACGAGGGGCAAAGGCAGCTCTCCCACCCACAAGAATAAGGGAGGGGCCCCTTGCCCATCCTGCTAGAGCTTGGGAGCCAAAATGAAAGCCTAGGAGAGAAGCTGTTGCCGTTCCTAAGGTTGCATCCCCACAACCGTCCTTCAGCTCTTCCACTGCCCTACGATCTTGCTGTGGGAGAAGAGGAGGACCTGCCCATGGTGGCTGGCCCACCCAGCCAGGACCCAAAACCCAGCCGTTCTCCCTGGTGCGGAGGGCCCGGGACAGTCCGGGATGGATGCAACTTTGGCAGAGGCGAAAGGATGGGATGGCAGCAGAGCCTTGGGACACTGAGCCGCACTTTCGTCCCCTGGGGGCCACCTCCCGCTCCAGAGCCTCAAGGCAGGGATGGAGGCTGCCAGAGGGTTCTGCATGAACGTCCCCAACCAAAGTGACCAGACAGTCAGTCGGGGCTTCTTCCTTCCACGGTCCAGCCGGTCCAGAAGCAGCCCACAGAAAGGCCCGGCTGCTCCCCATTGCCCAACCCCACGGCCACCATGCAGAGGGCAGGCAGCTCTGCTCCTCGGAGGAATGCCTGTGGAAACAGGTCATAATAGCCAGGAAAAACCAGGCTTGGCAGTCTTCAAGCTGCAAAGAAACCGTCAAGGAGCCTTCAGTTCAACAGAGAGCTACAGATATTTTATTCGTTTTTTAGCTCCTGTGGGGATGCTGGGCTGTGACATTGGAATTACCAACACCTTTTGTAAATGTACCATTAATGTGTTGAGCAAAGAATATGGAGATAACTGGGCCCTCTAATATCATTATCTCCAGAAGGAAAAAGGGGGTCTCTGATCCACAGACCTCTTTTCTTGCGGCCTCCTGATATTCAACTAATCCTTGGGATCCATTCTGCACCCCCAGCTGCATTTTTAATAGAATACTAACAAAGTAACCGAGTCGGAAGGGACCTTAGAGGTCTTCTAATCTAACCCCCTGCTTAAACAGGAGACGCTATACAAGGGGTGTCAAGCTCAATTTCATTGAGGTCTGCATTAGGGTTGTCTTTGACTTGGGGGGGCGGGGGTGGTGGCCCAAGGGCTCTGCCCACAAAAACACGCTCCCGATCTCCGTTTTCAGCTGCAGTGACCTCCCTGCAACCCTCCGCCAGCAGAAATGGAGATGGGGTGGGTGGGGCATGCAGCCCTCCGGAACTCCATTTTCGCTGGCAGAGGCACCGCAGGCCAGATCTAAGCCCCCCTCCCCCCCGGTGGCCTGGGTCCACTCCGTGGGCCTTGAGTTTGGCACCCCTGCCCTAGACCATTCCAGACAGTCCGGTCTCTTCTTAAAAGCCTCCAGTGACGGAGCCCCCACCACTCTGGAGGCAAATTGTTCCACTCCACTCCACTGTCCGGAAATTTCTTCTTGATTGGTTTCTATCCAGTTTCTTGTCCTGCCTTCTGATGCTTTGGAAAATAGGCTGACACACACACACACCCTTCCTTATGGCAACCCCTTAGATATTGAAAGATGGTTATCAGAGTACAGATAGCAGATAATCAAGAGCTGGAAGGGACCTTGTAGGTCATCTAGTCCAACCCCCAAGCGGGAGACCCTACACCATTTCTGTCAAATGGGAGTCCAATCTCTTCTTGAAAGTCTCAAGTGATGGCGCTCCCACAATTTCCGAGGGCAAGCTATCGTGTCACCCCTGGTCCTGCTTTTCACTAGATTAGCCAAACCCAGTTCCTGCAACCCTCCTTCACACGTTTTAGCTCTGCCCCCCCCATCACCTTTAAAGTGATTGAAGGGCTCCCTCTGCTGGGAGGAAGGGGCGGTTCTCTAAAACGCCAGCAAAGAGGAAGGAACCTAGAAGCTGGATGGATGGTGAAGGTTTCTCTCGTTTGTAGCTTTCAGGGATTTTGGTTCTACATTTTTCCCAATTCCTGAATTCTGTTATTACCAGTTTGAGATTTTAAAACAAAAACATGTTATTCACTTAAATATATTTTTATTTTTTTAATTAAATGTATGTGGAATTTATACTTTATGTAACAATCAGATATTTTAATTAAAAAATAACAGCTCAAATTGAGCTGTTTAAAAGTTAGCATCGTAGATGTATAATGCAAAAACTTTCTTTAAACAAAGCTGAATTTCCATACGGCTAAAATGAATTCGAATTTTAGGAAACGCTTTGCAGCAAATATTGTCATATAGTTACAGCGCTGAAATATTTTCATTGATGCGCAAATGTGCTACTATCTTCTAAAGAATAATTGGAAAAGCTAACTAAAACATTAAAAGTAGTGAAGTTTTAGAAGGTTACATAGCTTAAATTTTCAGCAAAAAAAAAAAAAAGCAATTTGGAAACTGCTGAGAAAAAAATTCCACAGGACAATAAATGGAAGAAGACAAAAGTTGACATTTCTCCATCCAAGATGAATAAACAACGCAAGCCAAAGAGAAGCAGAGCAGGAAAAACAGAGAGAGGCACTCTGCGCAGAGTTGTCCTTCAGTCTGATGTGACGAGGAAAGCCAGGGCTACCTGCTCAATGTTAGACCGGAGAGACATCATCCAGACCATTTGCTCTGGAGACCTAAATGGCATTTCTGGGATCCCAGGTTAGGCTGAGCTTTGAATGGACACACCTGACCTTACAGGTATGAAACCCCACCGAAGCTCAGGTGCAGACGGTGGCCTGAAGTTGCCAAGGAGGAACTCAAGACGTTCACAAAGTTTACACGGTCTTTAAAAACCTCCCATTTCGAGATGTCCCCAAACTTACTTCCTGCTGCCTGTTCCAAGCTTAGCCCAGCTACTTGGGGCAGGCGTCACGTTTTTATGCTCTGTGTGAAACCAGGCTGGTTGAAATAGAGATGGATCCACCCAGCCCCCTAAGCTTGGTTGGCCTTAGTTGGGGTGCCTGTGCAGATCAGCCTCCCGAGCGAGCCCCCTGCTGGGAGGGGGGGGCTGGCCTATGAATACAGCGAAGGGCCACTAGGGAGCGAGTCGAGGGTGGCAGAGGAGCCCGTTGGGTGTCAAGGCTGCAAGGGGCCTCGCAAAGGTGGGCTGGCCAGCCGGAGGCGCCTGCAGGATGCCTTTGATGGACCATGGTTTAGGTGGATTAGGGTCTTGAAGAAGAGCCTCTTAGGCGGACGAGAAAAGGGTGGTTTTATACCACGCTCCCTCTCCTCTCCTCCACCCACCAGAGAGGCTCTTCCAAGGAGAGGAAACGCACTTTGGAAGCCAACTTCCCTTTTATTGAAGGTAATGCAGTTAAGTGGGGGGGGGGGGGGAGAGAAAACAAGCAGGAGGGGGGGAATGAGAGAAAAGGCGAGAGCCAGGACCACTTCAGAAGTCACTAAGACTTAAAGCGGCCGAGTGTGAAACACGATTCTTGCCCCGAAGGGCCAGCTGGCATGTCTGGTGCCAAGAAGACTTGGCACGAGCCCTCTGGCTGGGAAAGGCAGCTTCCCTTGGCCAGCTATGCACATTCTGGAGGGGAGGCCAACCCCATCCTAGCCTGACCCAGAGGAGCCCTTCTGTGGGAGGAGGAGTGAGAAGGGCAGCTGGTGGGGGTTCTCCCCACGGCCCCCCTCCCATCAGGAGGGCCAAGAGAGGGAGCGGGCATGTCCCTGAGCCAGGGCTTGCTTTGGGAGGGGGAAAAATCAATTTTGGGCAGCCCAAAGGGTGGCATTACTAGCTATGTCAGTCATTGGACCAGGAATGGGCAGGGGAGCTTTGGAAATTCCTGGCAGGGAGGGGCTTGTTTTGGTTCTCTGGAATCATGGGGCGGCTCCGAGCTACCCAAGGGGACTTCTGGCCCTGCAAAATGGGAATAAAGGGAATAAAGGACACGGGAAGGAAACCCAGGCTGGGTGACAGTAAAGGGTTTTGCCAGGGATTCGTCCTAAGGCCCCTGGTTTGTGTCTGCATTTCAGGCTCAACTTTTACAGGCTGTGGGATGGCTTTCCCCTTGCCTCCCACCCGAAACAGGCCAGAGCAGCAGGGGGACCTGGCAGAGGTGAAAGTCAGCAAAGGCGAGAAGATCCCACTTCATGGGCCAGGGAGTTCCGCAGGGGCTTCCTTCCCCAATAAAAGCCCCATCACTGCGTTAGACTTCTGAGGATCGCCGTGGCCGCCTCCTTCCTCTTCCTCTTCTCCTTGATTACAGCGGAAGTGTAGTGATGCTTGAATTTTATGAAGAAGATGGGAATGGGGACAATGATGGTCAGCAGGCCACAGAGCACCGCGCAGGCCCCGATCACTTTGCCAGCTGGCTGGAAGGGATACAAGTCACCATAGCCGACGGTGGTCAATGTGATCACCGCCAGCCAGAAGGACGAGAGGATGTCGTGCAGCACCTTGTCGGGGTGATCCTCTATCAAGTCGGCAAACAACATGAGGGAGCCAAAGAAAAGGATTTCGAAGAGGAAAACCCACAACAGGATGGCAATGTCCTTCAAGATGGACCTGAGCATGTAGGGGAAGACGCTCAGCATCCGCGGGGTCTCCAGCAGCTGGAAGACCTTCAGAAGTTTGAGGACATACACCACGCGGAACAAGTTCAGCCAACATGGCAGAGTTTCCAGCCGGTGTCCATGCTGGCTGAAAAAGAGGTCCAGGCAAACTGGGAAAAGCGCCAGGAAATCCACCACGTTCAGGGCCTTTCGAAAGAATCTCTTCTTGTCTGGGCAGGACACGAGACGGGTGGCAAATTCACACATGAAGCAGAGAATGAAGAAGAGCTCCAGGTGGAGAAGAGAAGCTCTCTGGGGACACAAGGACTCCAGCGAGGGGCGGAGGTGGAGGTGGGTCAAGTTGCCCTGTCCAAGGAAGTCTTCGCGTTGGCCTCCTTTGGCACACAGGATGGCGATGAGGGCAACGTTGAACAGCAGGGATAGGACTGCAAAGCCCTGCGGGGGAAGGAGAGGGCAAGCGCAGGTCAGTTGCCAGGAGCATCACTCACTGCAAACACCCAGAGCAGCAACAGAGCCATAGCCGCCGGCCAAGGCCCCCCCCCCCCCCCCCGGAACCCTACCACCCCCCCCCCGCGTTATTTCTCCCTTCGTTTTTAATTATTTCCTGATTAGTCTACCCCCCCCCCCATCAAATAGTGGTAGGAAGGAATAATTACGATTTATATTGACTGTTTCCTCGTATGATTTGATTGCTTATTGTATCCAAGACTATCATTAAGTGTTGCACCTGATGATTCTTGACGAATGTGTCTTTTCTTTGATGTACACTGAGAGCATCTGCACCGAAGAGAAATTCCTTGTGTGTCCAATCACACTTGGCCAATACAGAATTGAATTCTGTTCTGTTCTATTCTGTTCTATTCTATTCTATTCTATTCTATTCTATTCTATTCTATTCTATTCTATTGTTTCTATTCTGTTTCTGTTCTATTCTATTCTATTCTATTCTATTCTTCTATTCCATTCCATTCCATTCCACTCTATATTCTATTCTATTCTATTCT